AACATTTTTTAACAGAGAATATTTTCATAGCATGGTTATTATTTATTTCAGTAGATCAAAAGAATCAGACCTCTAATGTCAAATTCGTCACTCAAAAACCAAGGAACACAGCCGATGGCTACTTGGATAACCTTTAGGTAATGGCTGCTTGGGTAACCTTTGGTCTATCTTGACCAGAGTAACAAAAGCTCTGGCAGAGACAGTGTATTCTGTTGCCTTCAGGCGCCTCAGCTGACACTTCTTTGATACATTTTGCTTTCAATAAGAGCTTTGTTAATTATGTGACAATGTAAGCAAAGATCTCATAGCTATACCTTCTTCACCCCATGATTTTGAGCAATGCAAATCACGTCTATACCAGGAAATGAAAAAGACTGGGGCTGTCAGGAAAAGAAATAATCCATGTGGTCACGATGAAGGATGTGAAGCAAGCAGCATTGCAAGCTGCACTGCAGCCCTAAAACAGATTATCCAGAGTGGTGCCATCTGCACCCTTGCACAGTTTCAAGACTTGCTTAGGAAAAGACATGTCTGATCTTATGATGACAGTCCTGCTCCAAACAGGAGGATGGACTAGAAATCCTCCAGACATCCAACAGTCTAATTAAACAATAATATTTCTGAATCTTCTGGGTTTTGAATTGATAACTGTTAAGGTTAATGTTCTTTGAATATTGACTTGTATTATTATTTTAGTTTCTTAATGTAGTTAATGTTTAATATTTTTATGTTCAGCAAATAAGGAGAGTACAGAGATGGACTATAATACCGGTCTAAATACTATAGTAGCATAACTCACTGTCATATTCTGAAGAAATTATAGAAGGAAAAAAATAAACCATATAACAGATAATAATAAAATAATTTCCTTGAGTACACTTTCTCATTCCAAATCAGTATTTGCTGACCTAAGACCTGAAATATGAGATGTTAAAAACCTCTTAAAATTGCACCATTATCTAAAAATACAGATTCATTGTTCATGGGAATATCCAAAAACTCCATCTCAAGAACTTAAAGAATGAAAAGCTTTACGCAGACTAATACCACTACTATACCCTTGCTAAAATAGGTAACTTTATTTAAAAAAAAATAAATCCTAGCTTTTAATAATTATCCATCTCTGAGACAGATTTTTTTTTAACTTTTGCATATTTAGAAAATTATACTGAAATCAATATTTCTCCTAAAGCTTAGTAGTAATGCACAAAATGTAATATTTTATATATTATTTTCTGCTTTTAAACATAAAAAAATTCTTATTTTGAATATTGCTGTGCATTGAAAAAAACCCATACTATTAAACCTTTTATTAATTCATATATTTATTTCTTCTTATTATTATTTCAACCAACTTAACTGGCACTAAGAATTTATATAAACAATTACATTACATAGGTCTATACTCAGTGAACAGTCATTTAATAATGCCAGGTTTTTCTGTTCACAGGCCTTTGAGTAAGCTTTATGAGAAGGAACTTCAAGAGAGAGGGTGGGGATACAAGGGAACAGGAGAAGTTCAGGATCTTGGACTCAATCCCAGTGGAGAGAAGCATTCAGCTTATAATTATTTTTTTTTTTTTTCCATTTTGCAAGTACATTTATTTTTGTAATAAAAAAAAAAGCCAATAGAAAGAGATCTTGCTTCCTTACCAGATACTGCTTTTCTTACCACTTTATCTTTTTACTTGTAAATAGTATCATAAATACCAAAACATAAACAGATGTCATTTCTACAGAACTTTAGTGTTATTACAAGTGCACGTTCAGCTTATCCATCTGAGTGGATTACTTCTGAAAATCACTGTGATACTGCCATATCTGTGTTGCAAGGAAAACATTTACATTTGGAACTACAAATAAATTCAGTTGTGCCATAATCTCAAAGCCACAGATACATATTGCTATTATCACCAGTTTATACACAACCAAACTGGTATTTAGGAAGCAGATTGCAATTCAATCAGCTATTTATTTTCACACTGATGCACCCCAGCACAGTTGCTTGTGGCACATATATAGAACTCTATGGAATACCATTCCTCACTTGCAGTATTGAGAGTTATAATTTACAGATGCTTCATCAAACTCATCTATTTTTTTCCTGATTCTGACTCCAAGACTGCAGAACACATTAAGAAAAATCAGAAGCATACTGAATACCATGAATTTTGCATTCATGTAAAATTGGAAATCGTCTTATTCACATTTGTATCTCAAGAGATTCCATGTTCCAAACTAAAGTGCATTCAGGAGAATAACAGTTGTTAATAACACCAATGAAAAGAGCTGTAATAGATAAATTATAATGACAGAGTTAGATCTTTAACAGGCATTGCTGTTGCCATGGTAGAAAATTTCTAATGTAAAATAAAAATCCACTAGAAAATTGTTCTATAGCTATGGTAACAACTGTATTGTGGCATGATTATTCTATTCAGGTTCTGTTTTCGTTTTATCCAGAAAGATGTTTTTAGCATCACGCTTTGCACATGTGTAATAGCTGCCCAAAAATGTATTCTCAACTCCTTTTCCCCACATTCAGTTGACTGCTAAAACCAACAGTCAGAACTGAGTAATATTTGGAAACTACCCTCTTATAGAAGGATGGATAAGCATATTTGCATAGTAAGGTTGCTTTGCAGACACTAGAATACCCTCAGTAGGGAGGATACCAGTTGTATTGGCAAAGTGATATAAAAGGGGATGATCAGCAAGGAAAGGGGTAGGACAGAAAATTCATAGTATTTAAAAACAGAATTAACAATATTCAGGAAGGCATTATTTCACACAGCAAACAAAATCATGCTCTGACCAAGCTACAGCTCTTTGATGGCAGCACTTGAGGCAGAGCTGTAAAAGTTATAGCAAGGTACAATGGACCTGGGAGATAGAACAAGACNCAAATTATCTCCCCTTTAACTTCAAGGGAAACTGTCCAGAACTGAAAAACACTGAGGATGCAGTTTTCCAGTGGAATAATAAAATAAAAACTAAAGAGTCCAGTTTTCCAGTGGAATAATAAAATAAAAACTAAAGAGTCTGTTATAAAGTGCTCTGCCTTTTAGCAGAATGCTGGCCAAGGAATTAAGTGCTAGAGTGTAGTTGTTAAAAATGTAGAGAATAATATAATTTGAAATGGAGTGTACTTTTAAGTGGGCTAAGAATATTATTCTAAAGAGAGACGTCTTTAGAAGCAGCTGTTGGGACAGTAAGAGTGTACTATATCACGATGGGAATGTCTGCAGTAGATATTATTAATATTACTAAGGAACACCTCAGCAAGACAAGGTGTAGGAATGGCTTGTTGAAGAATATGCAGGCTGCAATACTAGTAGGACTGAGAAAATACACCATCCAGTGTGGCATAAAAAAGATCACCGAGACAGCCCTGAAAATCTGGGAGATGGGAGCAGAGACAGACTGAAAGTTTGCCATACTGAGCCATAAATTTAGTTTAAGTCCTGCATCTTGTATAAAGCCACTATAATCTGGTCTCCTTTGTTGTCTGTAAAATGAAAAAACAGGCCTGCCTGGGACCTGAAAACCATAAGATGTAACTGCTTCTCTGGTTAATAAATATTTGAAATATATCAAATAAAATGGAACATTCACTGTTCTGTTCAATATTTCAAGTGCAAACTGAACCATAGCTTGTATATAAATTTTATACATAAATTTCTACTGTGGTAGAACCTTGCCAAAGGGAAACCTGCAAATGGAGGCAAGGAGGACTTTAAAAGTGTACCTTGTAAAATTTTAAAAAGTTATCTGAAAAAAGCCCCATAAGTAAATAAGCTTGGTTTGAAGACTTTCCCACCTGTAGTACTGGGAGACAAAATTATAAGGACCAGAGTTGGTACAGATTCTTGCAGGGGCTATTTTGGACAGGTAGAACAGGATTCTCTTCAGGACAGGGGTGGAAAACCAAACCAAAATCCATTGTGGAAATTCCTCTGATGGAATGAGATTATTTGAACTAAAAAGTTCAAATAAGTTCAAAAGTTCAAAAGCATGTGGCACAAAAGGAAAGATACAATTCTCCCTCCCCGACAGACGCTTAGCATGGAAGTTGTAGAGCCCCTGGCTGCTGCAGGAGATGCTGACTCTCACAGCACCCCATCAAGCACCTTAGAAAGGAGAGAGAAAGGCCTGGGGTGCTTCACAGGCTGCTGCAATCCTGTTCCTTGCGTGGTAAGGCAGAGAGGGAAAGCAAATAAGCTGATGCCTTTAAGCAACAATTTTTGGGAGGTGAGGAATGAGGTCAACTACCTTGTTTGCCAAGCAATGCTACAAGTCAGAGCCCCAGACCAAGTCTGATTCAGGATTCCTCAGCTTTAACTCAGCCAACCTATTACAATAGCTAATTGCTTCCTTATATTTTATCTGACTTTTTTGTTGTCTTCTATTCACAGGTGCAATGAAGGATTATCTGATGGAAATTACTTTGGGTATCTCCAATACACGAACCAGAAATTGATATAGGAGCTGTGTTGGTTTGTTTCTCCAGAGGGAATCCTTCACTCATAGATTTAAGGCTTCTTAGTAAAAAAATGAAAGTGAAGTGGGTTTCAGATATTGAGCAATAAGTCCTATTCTTCCCCCAAACCTTTTCCCCTTCAGTAATCTGTAATAAAGTCTGACATTTTTGCAATTTTGATTGTAGAATTTTCACTCTGAGGTAAATGTACTGTTACTCCTAAGTAGTATCAGTAATGCTTGTGGTTTCATGTCACTACACTAAAATATTCCCCTATCTATAAATAAATTATTCTTGCCCACATTTCCTGAGAAACTGAAGGACCCAAAGAGAATTTTTTTTTTCATAACATTGCATATAAGTATTACCAAAATACAGATGGTTTAAAATGCCTTACATCTTATTGTGGATTTCTACAATTTTAAACCTTAATTTTCTAAAAATGACTGTATTTCTATCCATTGGCAAATGGGTGGAATTGTTTCTATTAGCAAACGGGATGATCAGTTTAACATAAACATTAGGCTTTAAATAGAAAATTTAATTCATGGTATGTTTGCATTCTGAACATCTAGCTAATTTTTATAGAGCTTGTACTTGCATCAAAAATGTTAGTTCCTGAGAAGTAAAACACAAAAAGAGGACATTTGAGTATATAACACCCAACTGAGGATTAGATTGTAGGAGAAAACTCAGTTAAGACAGTTAAAGTTTCCGTATTGCTTAAAATAGCCATTTAAAGTGCTTGGGATATTAAATTCTCCTCCGAAGGTACAGGAAGTGGGCAAAATGTAATTATCCCTGGATCACTTTTCTTCCCTTGCCAAGAAAGGAGATAACTTTCGTCTGCAATACCTGAGTCTATGTTTCTGCTTGATTACTAAACCTATAATTGAAACTGCAGTACTTCAAAACCATTAAGTAGAATTTAAATGGACTAGGAGAAATAATAACCTCACTCAATCAGTCTAATTTCAGTTGTTCACACATCACTAAAGCCTATATAATGTAGCATCTTGTTGATCATTGTCTATCTATTTTTAACACAATTTCAAAGTTTTTCTACTCCCTGTGGATACTAAAATGTCAGCAGAGAATTTAAATAACAAAAGTACTCAACCAAAATGCTAAAATTCCTCTAACCTACCTGTACATCTTGTTATTTAAATTCTCCCACACACTATTGCTGTGCATGTTAACCGTTTCCCCAGTTTCAAATAAAAAGCTGTAGTTCAGGTACCCTGTTCTTTTGATTTAACTTACTTATATTCACGTGAACATGTTTCAAGAATTCATACACATTATACTCTATTACAATGTTTTTTCTTGAATGATTTTTAAGTTTTAATAGCACCTTAAATTTCTCTTCTGCACAAGTCAAAGAGTGAGTTTTTTTGAAAGTTTTGGACTATAAGTCTTAGTCATAAAAACTTCAGCCACTACTTAGTTCACCAAATTTAGCTGAAAGTTACATGACTGATTAATTGATACATGTTCATGATTTCTTGAAACCATAATAGTTTGCACATCCCCACCTGAAAGTATAAGTATAGGAAGAAATTACTAATTTTCCACCAATATAATAGGAGCTCCAAGGACTTTTGCTGAAGTACCATTTTGAGATATGTAGGTAGTAATTACAGAACAAGGAAATAATAATTAAATAATTAATTTGCTACTTTCAGAATAAAAGCAGTCTTTTGGTGAGTGCTGAGATTTCAGAATGGCTGGCCAAACGTACTTGTTACAAACTTTTGGAAGGCTTAGGCTTATAGCTTAGGTTATAAGAATTACATGTCCAGACTTGTATGAAAAGCTACTCGCTCAGTTTACAGTCAACAGCTGAGGTGACAGAGTTATTTCCGATGGCAAATGAGATATCAAAGAAAATCCTTGCTCTTCTCCAGAAATGTCCTTTTGCTATCCCATAGCAGTCTTTTCCTGGGGTAAATTAATGATGCCTTCCATTAATCACCATTAATATAGCCTGAAAATGTTTTAACAGAATTAAGTAACTATTGCTAATGGAAAGAACTATTAAATGAAGTATCTTCTGTCAACTGACCACATCAAATGCAGTGAATACGTGGCAGTAGTGGTGATTCGTCTTCAAGTCTTTAGTGATGTACGCAAATGTAGAAAGGTCTTCGGGGTCTTGTGCAGCACAGGAAATGTTGCGGATTTCATGTTCAGCAATAATATTCTGTTTTAAAAAAAAAATGTTTTAGATCAATTTAAGAATTAAATTTAAAAGAGCTGTAAAGGGTATGGGTTTAGATTCACGTTTGCATTGATGTACTGTACCAAAGTATTTCAGGAATGTCCTAATAAGAAGAGATTTAATACACCCCATGTGAGATCTTACACAGGTATTTGGAATTTTGACCTTGTCCACCTGCCAATGATCTGGTAGGAAACCATATTTTCTAGAGTCTTCCCTATGAGGCCACTTGTGCTTTGGAGTTTATTCAGGTTCCTTTGACAAAGACATCTTTCCTACCACACAGGACACAGCTTCATAAGATGCTGGTATAGTGCTTCGAAATAGTATTTATAGATACGTTTCAAAGCACTATACCAGCATCTTATGAAGGTCCTGGGCTTTTGTATAGTGATCAAAATGGGACACTGTTTCAGTCTACTGACAGACAGGATCTGGTAAAACCCAGCAAGCTCAATAGCCAGGCTTTTGCACATGCTATTTGACAAATTTCAGCTATACTGGAAAAACCATCAAACATCACTTATAATTGAAACCGTGAGATATCCAAAGGATTCCGATTACTAAAATGATGACTACAGGGGGAGCTGGCAGCTTATCTCCACTTACTGACAGCAGCATCCTGTAGGAGAGATGTAGGAAGATGAAACCGTTCATGCGCTGAGCCACACTACTTGCAACAGCCAATGTAAGCTATAGCACACTACTGGGAGAGAGGAGGGGCATGTCTGTCCGATGGAACAAAAAAAAGCTGTCTTAAAGCTTTGGAGAAAATTATGAGTACTCATTACATAAACTGCTGATATGTAATTACTGTGTTCAGGCCAAAGGAACCATGAAGCCAGAGAAGAAGATACAGCAGAGTGGCTTATGATTAGGCCTTGCTTCAGCAACATACACGTTTCAAATGGTTTGCTTAAGGAGAAGAATGATTACTTGAATAGGAATTTACTTAAGGATTAGTTTACATGCTTTCTTGGATTGTAGCTCTGCTGGCTGTAGCTCTGGCATTTCCACAAAAGCCCACAGTGACATATCCTGTTTCAATATGGCATCACTACTGCATCATGGAACTGGTGACACCTGTAATGTCCCAGTTCTTCACAGAGCCACCACTTGCTGCTGCCACAGTGCCATCTGTCCAAGTTAAAACAATCTCTGAGCATATCTGGTTTTCCATCACCCCTCTCTTTTCCTTCCCACCTCTTTTCCTCCAGCTCCCTTTTAAATATATTTATTTATTTTTAAAATATGTGCAACTAAATTACTTTGGATGCTTTGTCATATCTTCTCTCATTTGCTAAGTGGCAACTTTCCCCCTTGCATGTAGGTGCCAAGTTATTGAAAAGAAGCATTAACATACCTAATTGAAGAAATCATGACTTAGGGAAAATCTTAATAAAAAGGATACTCAATTTCAAATTCAAGTTCAAATGGAAAACCTGAGATAAGGAAACTTTACTGAAGAAAAGAAATAATCCTCTTAAATTGTTGCAGCATACTTGATTGTTTCTGTTTAATGCATTATTCATAGAAATTACAAAACCAGTACTTGTGTTTCAATATATGCCAATTTAAAATGACACGTGTAATCTCTACTCAACAATTGCTTTTTATGTTACTTGAAGCATTTTATTTTCTTGGTTCTCAAATTGATAACTTGTACCCTCAATAAAGATTTTGATGAGAATTAGAATTATACCAAAAGCAGGGATTTAGATATCCATGGATGGAGCTGTAATGCTCTGTCATTGATGTAGTGTTGGCAACACTGTTGTTAAGAAAACAGAAAGAATTCAAGCTTGGAAGGTGTTAAATTCATACGTGAAGTATTTATGCCAAATCATGAGCCACAATGTAATCACCTGAATTTATGCAGCATATGTGAAAAGAGCTCTGCTATATTGAAATTTTTCTAGGTGACTTGGGGTTGACACAGGGATTTGCACTTGAGTCAGAATTCATGGAGATTATTTTAATGTTTTAATTTTAAATCAAGGGAATTTTAGAAAAATACAAGTATCAAGTTTGTTATGAATAACAAAATGTATACCTAAACTAAATCTTGTGGACAGAAACTGGTAGTGAAATTGAGTTTTTTCCTAGCTGCTCTAGGATATCCTCTGTGATCTCCTTTCAAAATTAAACATTTTTCAGTGCATGTATTTACCGTGTCCTACTGTCACATTTCAGTAGACAACGGTCTTATTCTGTAGGAAGTAGAAAGCTATAAACCAGCTTCCTCTTCTGGGTACACTCCTCAGCCACTGACAGACACTGTACAGTTGTTCTAAAAATTGTCTTTCAGTTTGGCAAGAGAAACCTCTAGTGCTTCTCAAAAAGTGGTGAAGCTGAAAGTCAGTTCTGGTTCTGCCAAGGAAATACCTTGGAGAGACCAGGTTTTTGCCAAGCAGCCTTCCTTTTGCTTGCCTAACTCATGCCAGGCAATCTCCCTTCTGGCAGAAATCACCCAGAAGTTAGGGTGAGCTGTGAGCCACGAGAAAACTCTGTGAGTCTGCTTTTTTTTCCTAAGCAGCAATTTCTTTCTGGCCTCACTTGCAAAGAAATGGTTCATGCCAAGCTTCAAGGCGCCACTGAAATAGCTGTCGTGGAATGAGGTCAGGGCCCCTTCAAGTTTCAGTCACCTGAAACTTTGCCTGCTATGACTGGGAATACAAATTCTTAGCTTGGTGGCATAAAGGAAAAGGATGAACAGCCATGAGAGCTGAGTTCTCAAGCACAGAATTGCTAGCTAATTTTGTCAATTAAAACTATGCGTTTGTTGCTAAGTGGTGCCCAGCGCCGTCTACTGTAAGCTCATATGGAAGCAGTACAAGTCTGGATAAGCTCTCACCTTAGTGCTAATCTGTTTTGGGTCCTGAAGGGTTTGGGAACAGCATACTGTGGACAACAACGCTTCTGGGAGAGTTGCAGGCTATTACCTGGTTTTTACAGAAGGGAAAGGCAGTGCAGATTTTGAACTGGAGAGAAAGCAATCTACCACTTGAGAAAAAACATTGGACTGTGGCATATTTAACTCCATCAAATACATCCATTGCACTATTAGGTTTCAGTGGGACCCATCTAGAGTCATCTAATGCAATTTGCCAAACTTCTTTCAGGTTTCCATCTTACATAAGACTCTATGCACTGTGCAAAGAGACAAGAAGCTCCTCTTGTTCTCGTGGAGTTTTTTTGTAAACCTAAGGACATTGCAGTTACATCCTTTATGCTACGGAGGAGATTTAAGAGCTGAAAACAGCATTATCCAAGTTGGAGTTAATAGCATTACAATGTCCTGATCTATGCCCTGCACATCAGAGAACATAAAGGGAATGAGGGCTGTAGAAGCTCAGTTTTAAATCAATGGAAGGAAAAAGGAGCAGACAGGAATCCCTGGTCCCTCTGCTCTGGCAAATATGCCAGACTTGAAACAACAGTAATTCCACCTCAGTTTTTCTTTTAGGCTATTATCTAACTCTAAATATGTCTTCCAAACTCTAGCAGAAGTTCACAAAACTGCTTCCATCCGTCACTTAAAACACAGTTCCAGTCAAACTTAAAACCTGATTGATTTGGCAAGTTTGATGGATACTGGGTTAGGTGTACCTTGTGGGCTGGATGTTCAGCAACACAAAGCTACTATATACATTATTAACCTGGTCAGGTAGCTGGGTTGTCAGATTTATTTTTTATATTGCTTAGTCAGTTTTAGTCGCATAACAGAAAAGATAATTTCTGTTCATACAAAAGCATCAGGATGGATGGTATTTCCTTGCCATTTTAGACATACAAAGAAGAGAAATTAATGCATTACTTTGCTGCTCTTTACAGAGCTTGTACATTTTACTTTGGTTAAACAATAATCCATTGCTCTATCCATCACTGAGTTCTCTGATCTCTTAATTTCTGCTTTTCTGGCTTTGGTCAGTTGGGGTTTTTTAAAGATTTGGGTGCATTTAGAAATGTGAAAAACAAAGCACAGGAGCATTGCCACACGGGAAGATGTGAAAAAAAAATAATAAAAAAAAATGGAATAGCAACTATTAAGAAGCTGCTGCAGTTCAGATAGTTAAATGGCTAGCATCAAGAAAACAGCTCACAGAGAGGTTGTGGTATTTGAATGTCTGGAAAGGACATTCAAGGCTTGTGTTTCTTGTTCTTAAAATGGCTGGCCCTGGATAAAACCACATCTTTATTCTTTATTGTGACTTTTTATTTTTTAATTTCCTCAGATTATACTAATGAGCATATATATAAATATATTCTACATATTTATTGAAGAGGTTTATGACAATTTATGGAACTGTATAGAGAAGAATATGGTAAAGGATTCTACAGAGTCTCCCTTCTGAATGTCTTTTGTGATAAGCTTGCATTTAACAGCAGAATGCTGGACACAGTGTTCTCCAAGCAAGCATTAAAGCTGCTTCACTTGTCCTCCAGACTGAGTTTCTGGAGAATGACAATTATATTACATCAATTTTGGGCAAAAGAGGAGAAAAAAAGGAGAGGAATACACAAAGTGCAAATCTGCCCCCTCTCTGGCCTGGCCTTCATAGGTATTACTATTTAGTTGTGAGAAACAAGAGGTAATATTCAGTAATTGCACATACCTTATTTGTGGCATCAATAAATTTGACTCCCTTGTAAGAAACAGACAGGACAATGGTTGGTACTTTCTTCATCTGTTCTGTAGACTTCTGAAATCAAAATGAAGATCTTATTAGAGTTGTCGTGCATTGTAATAACAGTGCTTTCTTCTTCTGATTAAATACCTAAGTTAAACAAATATTTTACTTTTCCTTCAGCCAGCTGTGCTCTGGGTTTATGCTCTCTTGTAGTTACAAAACTAAAAAAGCTTTGAGTTTATTGTGAGGATGGTAAAAATTCTCCTTTTTTTCTAGCACAGTGGGAATAGAATAAAGTAATTTTTCCAGGCTTAAAAAGACCAGTCATGCAACCAGTGTTCCCCAAAACATATGTTAGGACATCTATCTGCTACGGCCCATATCTATCTGCTACGGCCCATCCACTGCTGCCTCCCTCCCCTTCTCCCCCCCTTCCCAGCTGTAAGAATCAACAGCACAGTAATTCCTGTAGTGCTGCAGTTAGTTGTTATTTAGAAATATTTCCCTGTTTCCCCTTCTTTTCAGTTGCATTTGTGACATGAGGTATCCTTGCAGCCTGCTAGGCCTGCCAGTCAATCCGTCAGCCCAGCGCTGGTTTTCCACTGAACAGACTGGGAAAATGTGTGGAGTAGATTTAAGTTCTCTGCAGAAAAAAATAAAAGTTCTTTAGTTTACAGATTAAATTTACTAGAACAACCCCAAACCCAAATGAACAAAACACTCAAATGTGGCATAATAGTTTATAACTGATTTGAATTCTTTTAAGATGGAAGACAATGATGGATGAGACTATTCTATACAAAATTTCTGTAGATAAACATGTAACATTCAGAAAATGCTTGTTTATGGAACTATCTGCAAACAATCACAGAGTTCAATCAAGAATTTTCCTGAGAGGAAATGAACTATTGACAGTTACAGATAAACATGAAGAAACATCAGCACACAGAAGGAGAGTGTAAACACACTGAAAAGTCTAGAACTGACGCATAGGAAGATCATTAAAGCAGCTGAACAAAAGCAGCAATGGTGGCTTTGTATTATTCAAAAAAAAGTCCAAAGAATCAGAGACAGAAACTTGAAAACACAAGCTGTATCTAAAAAAATGTTTGAAAAAATAGGCAATGCTAACACTAGAGAGCAAAATAAACAGAAACTTAAAACAAAAAAACTGCCCTGTAATCATGTCTCTTTATTGGCTCTTAATCCTCCCAGAACCAAACCAGATTCCATTTTTGTCAGCATAAAACTCAAAGCTACAGATCCAGCTATGTTCTGCAATTAGTGTCTGTAGTGGTTTAGGTTTGCTAATTTGAGTTTTTTGGCAAATGCACTAAATAATGTGGAGAGTTTAGCGCTGGCAGAAATTACTAGTGTATTTACTAGAATTATTTGTTTATTTTTTGTTGTGAGATATGAATTAGGAGGGCAAAATAGACTTAAAATTTAAAGTGTATGAAGAAAACTTTACTTACAGAATTAGAAGAATAATAAGAATTAGAATAAACATTTTAGAACACTTTTCTTCTTCTTGCTCCACTTTTTTTTTTTTTTTTTAACTGATAATGTAGAGACAATACTTGGGATTTTAAATTAGTTATTACTTTTATAATACTCTTTTATTAGTGTCCATGCCATGCAGGCTGAAACCTCTAATTAAAGTTTCAAGGAGAGCCTCACTCATCCGTGTAATAGAGAGGCTTGTTGGATCTCTCCATATCAAATGATGAGATACTTGAGACAGCAATCAAGTGTCAATTTATCCTGGAGAAAACTTCTTTCACCCACAATGCTCACCACTTTTAGGAAATGGAAGCTTAAATGGTAAAACGCCCTGAAGAATTTTAACAAAGTCTGAATAAAGAAACAAATCTGATTTGCCTGCCTGTGGACTGAGTGGAGGAAGAACTGGTATCCCTGCCAAAAGTAGAGCAAGCACCTACCTGTGTGTATGTGTGTCACTATAACAGTTCTCAAATGAGTCTTTTCATAAAATTCAATTTCAGTGCACAGAAAGCATGATAGTGACTGTACAGAAGCTGTAGTACATACATCTATCAGAATAACAAGCAATAAACCCCGCATTTGCTCAGACTAGACAAAATAGTCACAAATATGACAATATCACTTTAATCATCTGGCAAGGCAGCAATCATCCAACTTTGGTCCTTTCATTTTAGTCCAACAGCTACACACAAGAGAGCTTCCTTTTTCTTTTTGATTTTTATAATTACCTCCTTCCTTGCCTCCTTAACAGCACAACTCCTTTTCTCCAATATGCTACACAAACACAGGTACTAAGTTCACATATTTTACTTTTTCAGTATAATTCTCACTGTCTGGTATTTGCCATAAAGGTGAAGCATCCTGTTGGCCAGGCCACGCCACATTGTACCAACTACCTCTTTCCTCTAGACCTATAGCTTGTAATTTAATCACCTTCATCTGCTCCACATTCACCTGTTTGTCTTGACCAGACCTGACCTCTAGTATTTAATCAGGGTTGTGAACTGCCAGCAGACTGTCTCTGAGTGAAATAGCTCATCAAGATGCTATTCAATTACAGCTGGCAAATCAGGAAATGAATGAGAGATTGATGGACATTTGTAATTTATTAAGCCAAACCATCTCAGCTATTAAGGAGCACGGGATGTTCATCATCAGCTCGCAAACCATACAAACCCCAGGATTTGTGCAAAGGTGTTCTGGAAGACTGCAGTCCAGTGTAGAATTATGATCTGTGGTTCTTGTACAATTCTGCACTTGTATTCCCACTGAAACAAACAGCTGGGCAGTGGAATAACATCCTTTGTTATTATGACAGTGCCATCGAGAAAAACACACAGCTGACTGGCCTGGCTTGACTCTTAGTGATACAGTAACTGAGGTCCACTGGATAATTATTATTTCCAAGCAGTTTCCAGACTTCAACAGTTTTGAGTTGTCATGGTGAGTTCACACTATTTTCTTGTTCCTTTCTTTTTAATGAAGGAGTTGTCTGCCAGAATGTGTAACATGTGAATTCAGAGATACAGTAGGAATACCTTTTGCTCAGGCACTGCAGGTGCTTTGGCTCTGAATTCTAGGATGCTGAGATGAAGCCCCACAGCTTTCTTGGTCAGACATTTCACACCTTTGTGCAGCCCAACTCTGCAGGGCATCTCTGCCCATGTCTGTGCCCAGAATCTGAGAAGAAGGTGGGACACAGGAGTCAGTATTCCCTTTACTTGGGCTTTTCAGGTTCTGGTACCAACTCCATGAGGACACAATGAGAAGACAAAATATCCATCTTGTCCATCTGGTGTCTCTATGGGAAGCATATGGACTTGAGCCAAAGTTATGGGAGCCACAGCTGAAGGCTGGCTTTGGATGTCATGTGCTTGCTGACATATGGTCTCATGCTCCAAGGCATGTTCATACCATAGCAGCAGAATTAGATTTCATCTCACAAAGAAGCAATCATAGTGACAGGACACTGTCTTTGGGCAAGTGCTCACTAGCCTGGAACTGGTCATAGTTCCTATGAACTCCACTGTTTGTGACTGTAACTGGCTCTTAATTTCAGTGTGCTTCTTTAGGAAAATCACCTGGGTGAACAGCAAGCCTATTCCAGGCTCCTTGCCAGTGCCTGCTGCTGATCAGCTGGTCACCTACGTCAGGACAGATGTGCATGCCCCATCTCTGTGGGTGCACTGCTCCTGCAGACTGGAGTGCTCCACAGTCTGCACTGCCAGAGTGACTGAGCTTTGGTCCCACCTCTGAAATCCTTGCTGCCAGACAGGTAGGTGACTACGTGAAAGCAGGCTGTGTATAATTCAAGAGCCATAAAACAGGCTTGTGTGCATACAAAGGAAGAGAGAAGGAAGTGTCACCATTCTAAATCTAATATGACATATGTGCAGCTTCCCCAGACTTCTCAAAAGACACAGAGCATCCCTCTCTTCAGAACAAGGAACATTGGGAGTACCAGTCTTGTCTGTATTTTGATGCAGCTGCTCCAGTGAAGCTGCTTCATCCCCTCAGCACCCACAATGCAGATCAGCCCAGTGGAAGAAGGTCAAAGGTACCTTCTGCAATTATCTGATTACTAACTACAGTGACTGCTTTTTACAATAAAAGTCTGAACTTAAGACTGTTCTGAGTTTGCATCTGAACCCACTGCTGCCATTACGCAGGACAGTGCCAAAATCCTGCTTAGGCTTGGACAGCTCTGCTACCAATTTCTCCTTTTGAAATGGGTCATAAGGAGATTCAAGGGCAGTGGTGCCAGAGAGAGCAAGAGAAGTGCAATCTTGCTTCTCATCTTGTTCATGGATTTTCTTTAGTTCCACTGGAAAAAAAAATCACTCTCATATCCAGAGTCTAAACTCATTTTCATATTATAGTAGTACTATAAATTGTTGTAAGTAGGTAAAGCATTTCCACTTGCATACTGATTTTGAGTTCAAGGCTGTGCAGAACTTCTGCCAGACATTTATTTAGAATGTAAACTAAAATCTAGCTTTGAGATCCACCCTGTCAGCATGCCTAACAAATCAAGGTAATTAACAATGGCTTAAGAGGCAGAGGACTTGATAAAATAATATAAACTAGCAATTTATTTTTAAAAAGCAAATATAAAACCTGCAACCCTGAAGGGCATTTAACCTTCTCAGGACAGGATTGTACCTCAATACCTTATTCTGTGCAGAACTGAGAGCACTAATTCAACCCCTTTGAATGCTCCTGCAGTGTACAAACCATGGCATCTCTAAGCACACACCCACACACACAAAGCAGCTGAATAAGAAATTCAGAAACACACATAAAATGGTGTCCAAGTAAGATGCCAGCTAATTCCCTTGATATACTGTAGCACATGATACAATGCAGCCCCCTCTGAAAATCTTTCATCTCAGTTTTTTATTTCCTGACAAGAGGAAACGGAATGCACTGGTACTTCTACTTTGCTATGTTGACCACTTCAAAGTACTTATACATGCATTTATAACTAAATTACTTAGCTTTGATACAGTGGCCAAAATAAAAACAGATTCACTTTTAGGTTTATATGTAATTCTATTTAATATTGC